TCCTGCAGAGTGGCTTCCCTAGGTTTTTTTAATCCATTTTTTTTGTGGCTGGCGTTAACCCCCTGAAGAAATCCATGTGCAGGCAAATGAATGGGAAGAAGCAGGAGTAGGGCTGGGGATCAGTTGCTTCAGAGATCTGGAATGCATCCAGATGATAGTAACACAGAGTACAAAACTTGAAGTATGTGATATGTACATCTGGAGAGAAGTATTTTCTTTTGTGGTCACTGAAATGGTAATGAAATGTTGAGGCTTTTTGGTGTTGGCTTTTAGCTACTGCATAGTATTGCACTGATGTGGTTGTCTGATGTTACCCCAATTCCCTTGAATTTCAACCTTTGTTTTTAGCAGACAGTATCTGCCTTTTTCATCTATTTTAACAATTTCAGTGTATAATAACAGTTATCTTTCGGATTGTGGTGTAGGTTTTGTTTTTGTTTGGGGTTTGGTTTTTGGTTGTGTGGGGTTTTTTTTGTTCCTCCATGTTGCCTTTTGAGAACGGACTATTGTCTCTGCCCCTGAAATGGAGGATTCTTTTCTGTGAAATAGTTAGCTTAAAGGAGGACCACATGGTTGTCCTGCTAGTCCATGGTGTGAGACAAGTGATGAGGACACTGGTATTTCCTACTGAATAAATTGGCCTGGCAGCTTGATCTGCCTTGCAGGTTACATTTGTAAACGTTCAATTTTGAGCTCTTCATCAAATGTGTAGAACTTGGAAAGATAGAAGAGTGGGTTTGAATCAAGAGAAGGGAAAATAATTTTCAAGGTTATGGTCAAGTATAAAAGTGCACCCACAGCAAGCGTAGTTCATCTTACTAATTTTGAATATTCAGTGGGGCCACATAGCCTTTCCTATGACTGAAGTTTTCCATGAGCATCCAGTCAGTATGCATAGAGGGTGTCGAAATCTGCTTGCCCTCATTACTTGAGTACAATAGAAGTGTTCTTAAAAAGATGGGCATTCTTCATTTCCATGTGGCTTAAGTGGGCTTGTTTTTAATGATTTCCCTTGAAATTTAATTCCCACTTCCCAAACAACTGTTTACCTACCTTGCAAATTTATTCCTGTTGTGTCTTACCTCTTGCCTGTATAGATATTCCTTATTTTTCTGCACCTTGTCCATCTGCAGTTACATCCAGTGTCTCACACCTCTCTGACTTTCACTCAACCCAGTAATTTTTTTTTTCCTTTATGTTGCTACAAAGGTAAATACTAATTCCTGAACTCTTAAGTCATCTTTTCCCTGTGGTTGCTTGGTGTTGCATTTGCAGGAAGTTACTGGGTCAGTTCTGTGCTAAATAAATGGAATAGGAGCTACTGCATGTGGGCAGGTATCTAATGTGTATGAAGTAGATCTGGTCTCTACTGCATCAGTTAACTGCATTTGCAATTACCCAGCAGCTTGGAGCACAAAGGCACATTTTTTTTTCCCTGATACCACAGATTTACTGTTTTCTGCATAGTTTCTTCTCCTATGATCTGCTACTTGAGCCTGTTTTAGCTGCATTGTACGTTATGTTCTGTGATTGCCACACTGAAGTTCTAACAGCATTACGATCTTCAGCATGTGAAAGCATGAAATATTTGCAGTCACATTGAAAAGGATGGAAAGCAGGGATTCAGGACTGACCTTTTGTTAAATATAAGCTCTTGCAGTGCCGTGATTTTTTTTCTGAAAGACAGCTGAGATTATAGTTGTTTTGCTTATATATATAATCATAAATGGGATCTTGTTTTTTCTGTGGTTTACAGATAAGTGCCCTTTGGAAAGTTGCTCAGGTTGAGTTAAATGCGTGCTAAACAGGCTTTGTGTGTCCGTTGCAGCAATGCTTCTGTTCTTTATTTTGTTGATATATTCTCTGGAAAATTGACAAAAACTTGGGAAGTTCAGGGGTCTGCATCGAACTACAAGCCTTCATGGTGTTCTCAGGTCACAGGGAACATGGACAAATAACCCATTAGTGTTTTAAGATGGTCACCTCATCTAGTAATAGAAATACTGAGTGTTTTCTTTGTTTATGCCACGCTGACAAACTGCTTAATACAAGAATGTTTAGCACAGGCTGAAGAGCAGGTTTTAATACAACCTTGTATGTATTAAAAATGATGAATGAATGTGAGAGCAAAAAGGGTCCAAAAAACTCTTAAGCGGTTTTAAGAGTGTAGGAAAAACATAGGACAACCACACTGGTCTAAGTTAAGAGCACACAAATGACTAGGAATTCCATCGTAGAGAACAAACTTCCATCTCTGACAGAACGGCCCAAAGCTTGTATGCTGTGAAGAAAATGCTGTCAAGAGCGCCCTTTTTTTTCCTGAAGAAAGTTCACATGAAGTTTACCTAGCTGATATTCCTGCAGCATCTGCTTGTATATTACCCACAGGTTTAACATATAAAAGCTGTAGTCAGTGTGGCAGTTTTTATTGTACACATTTACATCATTAGGCTGATTGAACAGAACTTAGAATGGCATAACAAGGACAGTTTCATTTTATATTAGAAATGAAAAGGCATACTCTGCATGAAAACAATAGTGCATCATCTAAGCATCTAGTAAAGCATCCTATTAAGAGCAAAACTAATGAACTAATGTACTAAATCTGTTTCCTATATTCAGTATGCAGACTTCATTCCCAACCCAGTATTGCATTTCTGTGGTGCAGCTTCTAAAAGAAAAATTTCCCCTGTATGCAATGTATGTATTGTACTGTGTAGCATACTTCATGAGGGTCTTGCATAGCAAAGCTTTGATGGTACGTGTGGATACATTCTGATAAATTTACTTCTCCTTTAATTAAAAGGGCTATGTAGCAGTAAAAGCCCAAGTTCACTAGCAGAGATTCACACAGGTTTAACAGGTGGTCACAGTATTGTGGTTGACGTTTTGAGATAAAATATTTCACACTATTGCAAATAGTGTGGAATTGCTGAAAACTGAAATACATTAAAGCACCTCATGTAGTCATTTAGCACCAGTTCCAACAAGATACTGAAACCTGACACTCACAAACTGAAGTTGGAGGTTGAAGTGAAATTAAGGGCCCAGTTGCATGGGCCCCTGTAATATCGTCACTTTTACATGCAAATTGAGTTGTCTTGGATATTTGTTGCACCACCAAGAGAGACACAGAACCATATGGAAATGAATGACTGCCCAGTCACAACTTGGAGAAAAGCATCCCACTGTTCACCAAAGGCCACACAACACTCATACTCGGCTGTCTGGGATAGGAAACAACAGGAAAAAGGTCTTTGCTAGTCAGTTTGCACAATTGCTATCTGGTGACACACATCTGCCACACTTGTCACATGCAGTGTTCCATGGCCAACAGAGCTTTCATTTTTTCTTTACAAAGCTTGGTGGCATAATCCATAGAGCGCACCTGCGGGTAGAATGGCTTTCGATGGGGACCATAGAGGTAGCACTGAACTTGCCCATCTCCCTCTTGACTGTAGTTAATCACAGGTATCTTTAAGACTGACTACTAATTAGTGTTGCATTAGGTGGTGATTATTTTCTGTGTTCTGTGTAGTAAGTTCATTGGAGTGGCCCTTTTTAAAAGGATAGTTCGTTTTTGTCTTGCACATCAAGTGTAACTTTTTATCAGTGCCTTTTTATAATAAACCATTAAGGTTGTCGTAGTATGGGGAACACTAGGTGTAGAAGGAATTAAATGGAATCAAAGTATGGCAATACTTTAGAAGCCACTGAAAAAGTACCTCTCGCCTTTCCTGTAAGATGAGTCTGAACTGTCAGTGTTGCAACTAAGCAGGAGAGAATTATCTATATATTACCTTGTAGAATAGTTTAAGACTTTATTATAGAGTTCTTCAGACAGGTTTTGGCTCGACATCTCCAGCATTTGCATTGTACGTACTTGCAACTTTCTCTTGTAGGACTGAGAGGTTCTTAATATTACTTGAATAAAGCCCCTCCAAAACCAGCAGTGAGAGGATTGGGATGTTTGTCTGTGTTACTCTGATACTGTACTGACAGCTAGTGGTAAACAGAAACAGTAAATCCTCTCTGAAATACTGTATGTAGGAAACCCTGAGAATTTCAGAAAGGAGACAAATGATACTTACCTAGAGGGAAGAAAATAAGCGGTCATTTGTTTTCAGCTTAGCTCTTGCACATGTGCGTGATTTTGCAGGGAAACTAATTTCTAACTAATTTTACTTGGGAATGTACTTCATGCACACTAAGCTGTGAGATTATTAATCAGAATAGATGGGGATCTGATGGACAATTATTTTCCGTCAAATGTTTAATACCTACTCAGAATTGCTTACCAAGAAGCAACCTACTAATGGTCTCATTAGCTAAAGACATGAGACAAAATTAGAGAGCAGTGTGTAAAATCATGGGAATAACAGCAGTCAAGAATTTATTAAATAAACTAGACTGGAGATTAATTTTGAGATATGTAATTAATTTTAGGGAAGCTTGGAGCTACCATAGTCTCTTCCTGTGAGTGGTGAAATCTCATAGCAACCTCTCCAGCTGTCCTCCAGTGTTACCCTAGGGTAGCTATCACTTTTCCCCTTATCTTAGATACATGGTAACTTGTTCATGTAATATATAAACTTCCTTAACACAGAGGGATTTAATTGGATAGTAATCCCTAACTGGAAAGGTTGTGTGTATACAGCTTGGATTTAACAAAAAGAAAAACATGGATCAGGAAAATGTGTCTGTTTCCACCATTGTGGGCCCCAGCTGTGCACTGTCTGCGCTGTTCAAGTTTTCCTGCCTCAAACTTTATTAACAAAGTTTGGTTTTCGTTACAGACATTCATAGTTTGGTCACACTTTTAATCCAGGGTACAAAAGATGATACTTTTGTGTAGACACCTGGCGAATCTTTCACTCCACAGCCATAGCCCCAGGAGGTCACACCATACACAACCCAGCTTTCCCCTGGCCGTTCACACATCAGTGGTCCACCACTGTCTCCTTGACAGCTATCAACACGTTTCCGTTCCTGGACGTTTCCAGCACAGAGCATTCTTCCTGTGAATCTTCTTTTGTAACGCTCTTCACATACCCTCTTGGGAAGTAAGGGGATGGCAGCCTGTTGCAATGTTCTTGAATAAGCCCTTCCTGAAAAGAGGACCCAAATTATTGTCTCATGATGATGCTTTCTCTTGGAGACATAAATGTGATTTGACCCAGTTTTTGCTGTCAGTCTTCACAGTGTTTTGTCATTAAATAAAATGACTGAAAACAAGACTTAAGTGATGAAAAAATCAACTGTTTGATTGCACAATTGCACATATGTTTTATGTGCATTAAACATAAAACTAAAATACTATATAATTAAATATGGAATATAGATGCTTTTTAAAAAAAAAAAAAAAAACAAAAACAAAAAAACAACAACTTAAAATTTAATACGTATCTTTACTTTGGACTTTGTTTGTTTTATTCCAAACATACTTTGTGTCTTCTGCAAGAATAAATACCTTAATACTTAAATGGAGAAGCCTTTTTGGGGAGTCCTGAGGAGATGAGACTAAAGCTGTAGAAATACTTCATCTCTAAGTCACCAGTTCAAGTCTAGCCTAGCTCAGCCTGACAAGTGAGCTTCCAGGTGGAGTATCCAGCCAACCATCATGCTCGTGCCCTGAGAGGCCATGTAAGCTTGCTTGTCACCTCAACAAATGAGCTCACGTTTCTGAGCCTGCGTGTACTCTGGTAGAATTCAGCACTATCATCGGAATCTTCCACAATCATCGTAACTTCTATGTACCAGAGAACTAATGGGCCTCCTCACAAAAGGAATCTTTGTTTTGTGGAAATGACCAGAACCTGTCCTTTGGTTTTCTTTATCTGTAGTGAATCTTGCAGTGTATAAGCAGTGCTCTGCGTATAAAATGTCAAGATTTAAATTTGGCTTTTTTCTGTAGCTTGCACCTCTTTTTCATTTGGAAACATGGGAAATTAAAGCCAGTGTTGTTTTTTTTTTTAAGTAAAATCTTAATACTTGTGATTCATACAGTAAGTCTGAAATTTCAGCTGAAGTACTGAGATAATGTAATTTCTTACCATAATTACAGTTAATTAATGGAGTGCTTAATGTTTGATTAAATAGATGTCCAAAGTAAACAGCATTGCAGAAATTTCAGAAAATTGTGTAAAAAGCTAGACAGAGCAGGGCAATGAATTAGCAATTGTTTGTAGCAAAAAAAACCACCCTTGAAGTCTATCTCCTTTATTGTAGTACAGTCACCCAGACATCTGTGCGCACAGATTAACGCACATAAAAAGGAAGAGCTGATGTCTGGCCTTGTCTCCTTGCCAGTTTGAATGAGTCAGTGGAACAAAGGCTCAAGTGTGGCTGCTGTCTTGCACTGTTATTCAACACCATAAAAACATGAAAATGAAACATGGGTATTAATTTGTAAAACATTCAAAGGACAAAGACTTTTGAAGAAGAAGAATATTATACTGACCTAAAAAGTGACTAGACATTTTTTTTTCTGTACGCCTGGATCACAGGTTGCACTGTGGATCTCAAACTTTGGCAAGATGTTCTCTTAATTCAATCTCACTGCTGATTGAAAATGTCAGTGGTAACAAGGGAGACTAAAAATCACAGAATCACTGTGGTCAGAAAGGACCTTTAAGATCGTGGAGTCCAACCATTATCTAACTCTACCAGGCCACTTCTACACCATATCCCTGAGCACCCCATCTAGACGGCTTTTAAATACATCCAGGGATGGTGGTTCAACCACTTCCTTGGGAAAATATTATTTGAAGTTCCAGTATGTATATTTTATATATCCATTTTGCTATTGGAAGTACTGTCATTTTAAAAAACCTTCCTAAAATACTCATTGTAAATACCTTAAAAACCTTAGCTATAAAAAAGCTGTTAGTTACGTTCTGTGGCAGGGGTGATAAGCTGCTGCGCAGGATGTGCCTGGCAACAAATAAGCTTTTCATTCATGCTTGTCAATCTTAATGAGGTCGTTTTACTGACTGGTTCTGTGGTTTAGAGTGACATGGTTAATCACCGTTTTCCAAACTAAATTCAGTAAACAAAGTGTTGTAATTCCTGCTTAAGGATCAGGAGAGAAAAAATTCTCCTGTATAAAAAGTGTAAAGTTACTCTGTTTTGAGCATTTTCTTATTTTAAGTATTTGAGGATTGGTGTTTTGGTGTTTGTTTTTTTGTTTGTTTGTTTGTTTTTAATAAGCAGCTTCAGGTAATGAGATTGGTAGGTGCAAATCATTGAAACATTTTTACCTGTGTCACCCCATCCAGTGATGTAACAGTTGGGTGCACTTTTCTGTGGTCTCTCTCTCCTCAGTGGCAAACAAGCAGGTAAGACATGGGTACTGAATCTGGCACACTGTTCCTCCGGCCCCTGCAGCCTCACCAGTGCAATGTCATAGTCACTGCTGTCAGGCCTGTACTCTTTATGCATCACAATCTCTTGCACTCCAATTTCTTCCTCATACTCTTCCGGTACCAGCGTGTGATAGTCTCCAACTCGCACAGCATAGTTGTGAGTGTTGTTGCCATACCTAAGATAGAGGTGAAAACAAAGAGGGCTGGCTCATGCAAGGTCAGATCCTAACCGTGCAAACAGATTCAGTCAGCGTATTTGGTCAGGGGGGCACAGACTGTTGTCATCAGAATAAAAATCTGAGTACTAGCATCACTGTGATGCTCCAAATCATTACTGAAATCAGAGTTCAAGCTTGCTTTGTAGGTTGAGAAATTCTAGAACCTTAGATAACTTGATAAAAAACTCTTACATTAACTGAAGTTATAAGGAAAGCAAAGCATATGTGCATCACAAGCACCTGTGTCAAAATGACAGAAAGCCTGTAAATCTTAGATTTGTTTGCATCTAATATGACCCCAGGTTCTTTCACATCATAGACTAAATGGTAGATACTGTAGAGGTGATTACTGTGGCTGAAATAACAATGTTCTGTGCATGCCTTTGGAGATTTTTGGATTACAGAACACATAGTCCTTCTCAGAAAAATGCAAACAAGGGAATACTGTTAGGTACGTTTATTTATTTTTAACTCTAGCTAAGCTAACCCAAATATTTTTCCTTTGACTTCTCCCTTTCCCTTGTAGTTTTCAACAGGAAATTTGTAATTCCTGTGCAGAAAATACCCTACAGTGTTCTGTCACCTTCTAACCTATAGTTGTTGTTTGTACCCGCCAGCAATGTGCTGATCTCTATAGCTTACTAAAGCTCACTTGAGTAGCAGCAGACAAAGCAGGAACATTACAGATTTCTTCTGAACAATGCAGCTGTACCACTGAATATTTCTTCTAATTGTGGGTTGCATTCCTGGTTGCCTGCAAAGCTTTCTTTACCAAATTCTGTACATCTCCTTCGGGTCTTCAAGTCTCTTCTAGGCTTGTAAGGAGAGAAAGTTGCAGTGTATGACCAAACATCTACTCATCTGAAGATGACCTTCTGTATAGGAAAAATGAAGTAACTACCAAAATACTTTTTCCAGGTTCTCCTCCATAGCAATCTATGTGAAACACTCTCCAGATACTGTATTTTCCTTTTGGTTGGAAATCAAAGTTCTATAGTAGCTGGAAGTGAAGAGATGCAAGTGATGCTAAGTTTTTCAAGTTTACCGATGTGTTTTAAAAAGTATTAATACTGATTTTAGTCTCAGAGAATGGAGGAATGTGTCTTCTACCAAATACATCACTTATTTTCTCCCAGAAAAAAAAACCATAAGCTTAAGTTTTGTTTTAATTTGTAGGTCTGTGTGTTCATGTCAAAGATGTTTAAGAAAAAACATTTACTTGTATGTGTCACATGACTAATCTGTTTTGAACACAAAAGTGATAGTATTTCATAACTTATCACTGAATCAATTTTCACGAGGCATTTTCTTTTAAGAAATGAGAGCATGAATGGGAAAAGAACATCAGAAAAGGCAGAAGCATGACTCGGGTGTTCTGAGTAGAGGTATTTCTTTGTGAGCTTTTTTTAAAAAAATACTCGAATCTCTCTTTCTCTTGCATTAGATCTCACAATCTCATTTCTAGATCATCTTGTGTGGTTTTGCTAATTTTAAAAGCTAAGACTTCACAGTTGATTCTTCTCCTGACAAAACAAATGCAAAATTCCATGGAGGGTTGGCACATGATAAATCGCTTTTATTTTTCTTGCCTTTAAGGAGATTCTTCAGGTTAAGAAAGGCTATTAGGTCTTAACTAGTTTCTGGAGTTACAGCTAGGAGTAAGGCTACACGCATCTGCAGTGCGTTAAAATACTATATAGTACAGGCGTTACTTAGCATGACTTTCTTCTACTATGATTTTATGTGAAAGTGACTTTTTTATGAAGATGTGCATCTTTACAGTAAATTGCTTGGTACATTTCAGTACCAGTTTGTACTGAATAGGTTTTATGTATTTGCTTGCTATTGCTTCTGGGAACTTCTAGAAACTACAATGCAGAGTTTAATTTAGCATGTTTACATATAGACAGACTTGAAAGCAGATTTTTGTGACCTGTGAGCAAAAATTTTCAGGAATGCTTTGGCAAAACCATAGCATTCAAAGTAGAAACATATTTTCATATAAAGATACAAGTTAGGGAGGAAAGTATTTTTTACTTCTCTAGTTATGGAATATATAAGTAGGGAAATTAATCTGATTCCTTAGTTCAATGTTGTGTTCTGCAGGAGGTTTCATCTGCAGTTTGGCATTTACATATATAAAAAGGCCATTTGTTTCTTCACATGGAGTCAAGCATGTATTTCCTAGCAATACAGCTTAAAAATTTCTGAATTGGCTGCAGGAAGAGAAACTGCTAAACCAAAGGCAAGTGTGTTGGTCACTTGGCCATCTTTTTCATGGAAGTACCTGTAATGTTGACTGTTTAACAGGAAGCATGCTACTATCGGATATGAAGCAGTCTGGATAAGCTGAAAACCAAACAGACCCTGGTAACTCATTTTATTACATAAGCTAATCAGTGCCTTGGTCCTCTGTGAACCTTGTAAAACAGAGGATTAAAACACCCACTTCTAGAACATTTTACACACTGGCGGCACAATCCTGTGCCACTCTCTATGGGGGACGAGGTCAGTGCAGAGGCAGGTAGATGAAGGGTCATGGTGTGCAGCATCAACCGGTCTGTCACTTTTACAAGATCTATTTACAGAGCAGATTTAATGCTCAGAACATGAAGAGTGTAGTAACACTGGGACGGGTCACTCCGAACTAGCTACTCCTGTCTTGCCAGGCTGAGATTACAGTCTTGACTAATGCATTAGACGACTTTGATCTGTTTTCCTCAGATTAAATTAGAAAAGAAATTTGATACAGAAAAGAAAGTACTTTAGTTACTACTGCAGTAAAATGGCTTTATTGTTTTCATTTTAATTATTCTTACATACAACCCCACCCTAAAGTAAGTGGAAGAGCTGTTTTTGTTACTGACATCTCCAATACATTTTCATGCTTAAATTTAACTACATGATGATGTTCTACTTAATTTAAGTGACACAGCAGCTAAGCCAAATAGCAGCTAAGCCAAATAAGTACAATTACGGTGTTTCCTTTGACAGTTCAGGAATCTTAAGTAGTTTGATAATTTTTGCTACAGCAATTGTGTTACAGTGTGCCTCCTGGAGACAGAGGTTTCTGTTACCCCTTTGTCCCCAGACGTGGGCACACATCCAGAATTTTCCATCTTTCCCAGGTTGTGGCTGGCTTAGCCACCACAAGACCAATCCCCTAACACCCATTGGACCCCTGACCTGTAGGTAACCCATCCGTGTATCCTTACAGGACAATGCCTTTGTAAACGCACCTGCCTAGCTGTTAAAAACCCCTGGCCCCAAGGCCACACGCTCTGTCGCTTCTCCACTGGGGTGGGTGCTGTTTCAGTGCCTGCCTCAGGTGTTTTTTGTTTGTTATTTTCATGTTATTAAAACCTTTTCTTTTGGAAGAAAGCGATCATTGCCCATCCCTCCTTTACTCGCCACTGTCCTCCTCTTCGCTGAAGAGGCGGCCTGCAGGTAATACGGGGGTCCCGCTGGGGGTGTTTTCATCCCGGGCAAAATCAGTGGGTTTAAAACCCCTCAAAATATATTTTTGATAAGTTATAACAATTGTTTATAACTGGTGACCTCATTGCCTTTAGAACCTATCATAAATGGGGTTCAGTACCCTAGAATGTGTTGCTAGATACAATCTTTGAATGTTTGAAAGCAATATTTTAACAGTTTTTGGTACACGTCGGAGCATCACAGTGGAATACAATTGTACAAGGTCATTAACATTATATATATCTATCTGCCTGACAACTGCCAAAAATATTTCCAAAAGGTATTTTGGAAAATACCCTCATAATTTTTAGATGCACTTTTTGCTCTGTGCAGCAAACCATGTATTAGTGCTATACTGGTAGTCTCTGGATTATGAAAGCTTTCTTGCCTTCTACCTTCAGTAAATATTTGCCCATCTAAGTTAACCATTGTGTACACTGGCATACAGGTTTTGTGTATCTAAACAAAGACAATCATGGTGCTTTGTAGATGTGCATTATCAGTGGTGTGATGCAAATCTGATTCTTGAGTGGAGAAAGGTGATTTTACATGGTATAAATCTTTCTTTGCTTTAACTTTTTAAATGTAATAGGTGTCTGTGCAGTTTAGATTACAGGCCTTATCCAGGACATCAGTTCCAGGATTTACCATATAATGTATCCATTACCTTTAGTCAAATACAATTTGAGAGGGAAAGGGGTTGTGTGGTATTTTCTTTTTTTCCTTTTTTTTTACCTAGTACTACAGTCACAAATGTATTAGGTGTTTCCAATTTAGATGAGAAATGAACATGCTTCCTTCCTAAACTGATTTATTAATCAAATGAACTTGATTTTTGATTATTCTGATTTGTAAGCCTAAGCATGAAGGAAAGTGGTTTGTGACTAGTGAGCACGAGTGCTGTCCTGTCTGCCCTCTATCAGATAGTATAGTAGAAAAATTGCTGATTCTATTTTATGTCACATCCTCGATTTTGACAAAAGGAAGTGTTCCCTTTGATAGGTTCCTGCTGTTTTCCTGTGTTATGGATGATGGTCATTTGTAACAGAATAGTGACAAAAGGAGATCCAGGAAAGCTTATCTTAATTAAAAGTACTGATTTTAAACATTTAATAGAAAGATAAGTGCTGCTTCTCATGCAAATTTATGAAACTTCAATGGCTACAAGGCTTCTAGTGAGAAGCTTAATGATCAATCTTTGCACAATTTACCCTGTTTGTGGGCACATTCACGCACAATCTTAAACTGATTTTTTTTTTCATCTGTAGACAAGTATTTCTTCCCTGGTAGTAGCTGGTATTTGCCAAATGTGGAAACATTGTAGTATAGCATCAATACATAAAAAAGGCAGAGTAATTTAGGTTAGGGATGTTGTCTTCCTCACCTAGGAGTCACCTATGAAATGGGAGAGAACCACCACACTCACATCACACTTGAAGAGTGGAAGCAGAGGAGGAGTCTAGCAGTGCTTCATTGGTAGAAAATGATGTTGCTTTCAGAGTGTTATCTGTGTGTTGGAGAGCTGGGCTGGGCGTGACTTTATGCTCTAGTGCAGCCTGGCAATGCTGACCTTAGCACTTCCTAGAAAGGTTACTTCCCAGCCAGCTGGAGGATGGACTAGTAATGACCCACTACACTAATGCCATCCTGCTGCCAGTCAAGTACTGTACTAACAATGAAGGCACACCTGAATTCATTTCACCATTCATGCTAAATTTGAGAAAATGGATTTTAATTCTGCTGTCTGCTTTGGTTTCTAGTGTCTTACTACGTATTTGGTTTCACTATGGCTCAGAGTCCCTAGTTCTCAAAACAGAATTACCAGGACCCTGTTGAAGTATACACAGGCATTCAGGAATGACTAAAGCAGCACTTAAATAAAAGCTATATTATTAGAACAGTACAAAGTTTCAAGTAACACAGTATTTCCAAAAATTACATCACGGTCATTATCATTTCCTTTTCTATGCCTCATATTTCTCATTATCCAAAGTTAATTTTTTTTTATTTTATTTTATTTTTTTTTATATACAGACCTACAAATTCCCAGTAGCTGCCAGAACCACTCAGGACAAAACTTGTTAATAAGATGGGCGAGTTACAGAAGGAAAAAGAGCTTCAAACATTTTTTTTTGATCTAAATCATGTCTGTGAAATTACAAAACCCAGTAATGCTGCTATAGTACTGGTGAACAATTCCAATCATTGTGCATAAAACTGTATTTAGTGTCTGTCCATAGTATGAGAGAGACCACTTTTTTTACTGAAGCAGTGTTCTCATTTCCAGGATGTGAGATATTGTATACTGGCCTTTCTCTTCTTCATCTCTGGAAAATATGTGAAGAAGGCGCTTGATCTATAGATAGCTCTTGGAAACCTAGCCCCTTAAAATCACTCTGAGATCATTAGAGCAAGTTCAGCCCAGTCTGCCCATCTGCTTAGAGCTAAAGCTGCCTTCTGTCTTTTACAGTAAACAGTAATGCGTCCACAGGCTGCCAGAATTTTGTGTTTAGATCTAGGTTGCACAGTTTTAAATGCAGTGTCTGGGGCACAACAGTACTTTGGTCCCTGAGCCCACATTACAGTTTCAGAATAGCCTGTAACAGACCCTCGAGTGGCTGTACCAATGTGGAAGTGTCCCAGTGTACAGTTCTCCAGCCATGCTGCTGCCCCATCATGGGTGTTCAGAAAAGCATCCAAAATGGGCACTTAGGCAGCACATTCAGGCATGACCTGGAGCCCCAGCTATGTCAGCAAGCCCCTGGAAGAGACAGTTATGATTTCTGTGGGACTGCTTACTGCCAGAATATGCTGCAGCAGTGCAACAAATAGTCACTTATTTCACTAAACTTTGAGAAATCATTGTAATAAGGCAAAGAGTTAGGTAACTTGGATCTTGATTTGCACACAGAAAATATAACTGGCTTCCTGTGATCTCCCTTCTCCTTTCCTGGAGAGGATCTTCAAGGGAGAATAACAGGACAGAGTGTTTTGCTTTTATGTCGTTAATCAAAGCGTAAACTGCATCCTTAGTAATAACTAAGATGATGAACAGCGGAAGAGGAAGCCATTGTCTATGAACTTTGATGACTGCAGCTAAAGTGCTTTCAAAGTTCTACAGGAAAAACTGTGACATCAGTTCAAGCAGGCAGAAATTTTATTGAATTTGACTGTTTCAGCTTGAAATATTACCAAGATAAGTCCTTCATTTTTTTTCATGAAACATGAAAGTGAAAAAAATGTGCATCTGGCACTAAGCAAAGTAACACCATTCAAGTAAAAGTATATCTGACTCTTGTTTCTGGTTATTAGTGTGCAAAAGGAAAGGCTCAAAGTCCAAAGTTAGAATATTTGCAGCCCACTTGATCGAATTCTAGCAAATATTCTCAAAACTGCAATGCCGTTCTTCTGTGCTTTTATTCCAGCCCATACTGCAGCTTTTTGTAAGGATTCCAATGAAATAATTGCTGCTGAAAGCTTAAAATGCTAGACCAGCTTCCCTACCGTGCAAGTTGATGCTTTTGTACTATAGTAACTTCATCAGCAGCATGTAACTGTAAAAAGCATGTATAATAACTTCATCAGCAATTTCTGACAGCAGAATTACTGAAGGGGGGATACCATAAAACCTGAGTAGGAGAATTACCAGTAACAGAATATGTTTCTGAAAAAAATGGAAAAAGACATTTAAAAACCCTAGATAATCGCTTAATACTGAGCACTGCAGAAGTTAGACTAGGAAGATCAAATGTGATTTACAAGGGAGCATAACTTGCAAACCAGTTGCTAAACATTTGGAAAGGAGCTAAATTTGGCTTAGTTTTATTAGAGGCCAGCGTCAGAGAATTTTACCAGTGTAACTGCTTAGACAATTCCTTTGTTAAAGGGGATGGGACCTTTGTTTAGATGGCTGCAAAAGACAATTTTTTATGTGAGATAGCAGTAAGGCAGTTCCCCCAGACTAGTTGAGAAGAATAAGTAAAACAGCTTGGTCTCACTAGCATCCAGTGTACAGATTTACTTTACTGTTAGACTCTGCAAAATACATGAGTGCTTTACCCTAAAATGGGTTTTGGGGGGACTAGTTCATCTACTTTGTGGAGTGTTACTCTAAGAATGACTATCACTACCAATATCTATGAGTACCAAAAATAATTAAATACTATAGTTCCTGTGTTTGATTTTTGCTCAGTTGTCTTCATTATAGCCTGAAAGCCATAAGCTGCAGTTTTGTTAGAACAGGAAGTTGTGTTAAAATGTCAGAAGTATTGTCTGTATCTTTTCATAGACATGCTGAAGTTATGAATATAAATCTTGTGAATGATGACATCCTGAATAATTTCAATGTTTGTTATTTTTATTATTATATTATTATGTTTTTATTATTATACATTATTCTTTTTTTATTAGGGTTTTTTTTTTATTTTTATTTGGAGGGAAAAGGGGTTGATTGGTAGGGTTTTTTTAAACCAAAGGCCAGCTCTTTGGAACAGTTTTCCGTGGGCTTGAACTGGAGTATTTTTGCCTACACCCAAAACAACAAAAGTTTGAAAATACACTTCAGTATTGAAAAGAGACCTACCTTTTAAAGCAATGTGCAGCAGTGAGGACCCAGCAGCTGCTGATGAGTGTAGCACCACATAAGAGTCTTCCATCACCATGAGAAGATTTTAGTCGGAGTGCAACCTGCCATGGCCAGCCTCCCCTACAGAGGAGAGGAGACAGTGTGCTCAGGGTACAGCAGTGGAAAAGTAGGGTAGCCTGTCAGTTACCTTGAATGTAAATCCTGTTTAGTTTCTTTGAGTGGTGTAGCTTCCAAAATGTGTAATTAATTAACAGTTGAGAATACCTTTATATTCCTGCAGCATTCAGAATTCCATTTAACAATGGCCAGGTTTACTTTACGGTTGTTTGGGCATCAAGCACTCTGAGTGCTTCCTCCCACTATCAATTATTTTCATTTTCCCTTCTCAGATTGCATTCATTGTGCCAGAAGTACATTCTGTGGGTTCCTTGCCAAATACCTTCCAAGCCAACAAACCAGAAATTTCCTGTCAGCTGGAGAAGGGGGAAGAAGGGAATTTCTTGAAAAGCTTAACCCAGCATCCTGTCCTGTCTGTGTTCATATGTTGGTCGCTTCTGAGCAGTTTGGAAAGGCAAGCTGGCAAACCAAGACCTCTAAAACAACTGTTAGAAACCACAAGTAATAGATGAGCACCTTTTCAGCTTGTGATCAACTGTTTTGTATAGCAGATTTGCCAGGCTGGATTATTATTTAACAGACTAGCAAAACAGAATCAGAAAGAAACGGGGAGAGAGATGCACCTGTAAGCAACAGCAGCAGCCAAGAATTAAGCCTCAGGCAAGCTTAGGTGTTTCCTGACCACTGTCAACTTGTATAGGTATCCTGGAGTACAAGAGCTGCCCAGCATCATCTGGTCCAGCATCCTATCTCAGGGTTGCCAGTGCAAAATATTTTAGAACAAAATGGAGGAATTTAGTTCCCATAAAGCATAAAACAATTTAGACATTTATAAGTTTTGGAAGATGGGATTTAATATGTCTTTCCAAAATGGGGTAATTTGGACAGCTTTGGATTTCCTGATATGTATGTGAGTATCCAGATCTTTTTTCTCAAGTTCTTTGTCTTAATGACTTCTTGTGACAGTGAGGTGTTTTCTGATACTGTTCATATGTTCCTTTTCCTGATCTTGAAACATTTCTAAGTGCACTATTGGATTTCTCTGACCTTTTTGCTTCACCTGATGTGCCTACAAGATCAGGTTTCTTGCTCCGACTTAATTGTGCAATCCATTATTTGTCACTGTTTCATTTCTTCCAGTGTCCTCTGTTCACATACTCCCAAGACAATAAATCTTGATCTTCTTTTTCTGTGTAATGCATTATTTATTATTCTCATTTGTCTCCTTACTAAGGTAAGTAATCCTACTTTGCTCTAGCTGGCTGCATCTAAATGTTTTTCTGGGCTCCCTCTTGTCACTGTTCTTTGAAGCTCCTCCACTTAGGCAGTGTCTTCTTTGAAAAGGATTGATGAATGCTGTGCATGTACTTTGAAATAGGTTAGGTTGCACAGTGATATGTAATGAGAGTAAGTGTATTTTTTCACAATCCCTTTTGTAAGTTTCCGTTAATAAAATAAAGCCTCTACTTCCTATTTTAGCATTTAGGTGTAGTATTTAGGGGCAGTAGTATTCAGTTAATCTCTTTAACTAAGTGTAAAAATGTAATTAAAAGCTAGGAACAAAGTGTTAACAAAAAGCCTGAGTTTATAGCTGTGTCATCATCAGAGAGGCTTATTTTGTGATGGAAAATCAGGCCTTGAGCAGTGAATCGTACCCAGGCCTTTTTTTTCAGTGTAGGTAGCATTCAAAACCTTGTAAACTATTGGTAGCGCTCTTCATATAACTCACATCCTTATATCAAGGTGTGCTTTGGGAAGAAGTGGCTGTTTTGAAAGTAAGAAATGTAAACTAGCCAAAGGCTAAACACATAAGCATCTACAGATTTTCAACTAATGCTGCAAGTTATTTATCAATGAATAATTTTTAGTTTCCTACCAAATTTCCTTTGAATATATTTCTGCTTCTACCTCACAACCAGCAAAAAGACAAACAAGCCTACAATAAAACCATAAATTAGGCAAACCTCTTACAACAAATACACATCTTAGAAGCTTATATTCAAAATCACTTGTCTTCAGCAAATATTTACCGTAAAGAATTTTTCCCACCAATTATTCGCTTTTGTCGACGATGCAGTAACCTCAGTCCACAAACAGAAGCAAGAGAATCTAAATCAGAAAGGGAGATGTATACAGCATTAAACTCAAAATGAAAAGTAGCCAATCTTCAATGAGATTTAACATAAAAAATAATAACATGAAGGCTGAATTTACTCTGTGTTTCATGGTAGTTTTTAACAAGCAAATTTTGCAGGGAAATACTGTAAATTATCTCAGAAATTCTTTTTAACTGAGAAATTCTGTGATTACAGAGCAATTTACACATTTGTGCTCTGCTTCTCAAGTGTAGGATTTTTATAGGATTCTTCCTTACTTCATTTCCCACTGCTTTTGTTTCTGTAATTCTGCTGATATAACTGTTTCCCCTGTGAGGTGGGATTGTTTACATCCACCTCTTCCTACCGTGACACTTCCCCATCCAAACCTGTTGGTCTGCCACTCACAACAGGCTTCACCTTTATTGCTGTTCCCGGAGGCCTTCTTGCTCAGGTGGTCACAGATCACCCCTGCGTCCTCACTGTGACGGCAGTTGTGCATCCCAATGTCCTGCTTGATGCAGTCTGCCAGGGATCTCTCATTGCCTGTGCACTTCACATTATCCACGTGGATCGGGCCTTTGCCCTCCCCAAAATATGCCATTGTCCTTGCTCTAGCTGGGCCTCTGGAAACACAGAATAGTTTTTTTATTAAACATTTTGAGGCATTATTCTACATTTTACTCAAATTTATTTCAGAGTGAGTAGTGGAAGACACTGAAGTTTTATTCCAAGTTCTGTCATGATTCACACAACAATTTTTCCTCTCATTGCCCTTGTTGCTCTGGTATGCAGAAAAAAGTGCAACAAAATCACTGCAGTTATTAATGCTTGAAGAGAGTTTTTATGTATTTAGGTAGAAGGCAGGATGCAAAATATGTTACATTGCAACTGCATTCCAAGTACCTATAAAGCAAAATATTTAAAAGCTGTTTTTTCATAATCTCTTTAATCCTCATAAAATCAGCATCTGTGAATGCTAAAAATAATTTGTTCTGGTCTGATTCCCTCAGAAAGATGTGCCAGTTAAATAGAGTATGCCTGCACTCTAGTAGGAGCTATGATTTACAGATCCATTGGTTGTTGATAGTTATTAACATATTTCATTACTGTGCCACTTTTGAAGTGCACCCCACAGCTAAGTTCTAGAACTGTAATGTAACTGGAGAAAGGCCGAACCCAGTTCTGTGTCAGCACCCGCCTTTTCCTGGGAGGAACCCCCTAATAGCTCAGCTGTCCTGACACGTTTTGAACTTCGACAGCTTACCTGTATTTACCAGATAATGCAAAGCCTTCACTGACTTTGAGACCAGTATAGGACAATCTTTGCCTAACAGGTTTAGTATGATTTAACTTGTCTATCACAAGCAATGTGCCTCTTCTTGCTCCAAATATTTTTCTTTTGTGAACTGTATTCTGATTAGAGATAACGGCAAAATAATGTCCAGCTCTCCAATACCTGTCAGCAGCTGACATGTCTCTGTATACTGTTACAAAGTAGTGAGATAGTACAAGCATTCGTTGCAAATTCTTACCTGGTTTTGGTATCTCTGTATCAAAAAAAAACCCAAAGTTTCTCCTTCAGGGCATTGCGCTGAAGCTCCTCAGGGTATCGAAAACTACTTTGTTGTGAATGATCACAATATTCTTAGCCTTTCCCAGGAAAGTATTTATTGTAGTTTAGTATAGAATTGTCTCTGCAGACTCTTACCAGCTACTTAATAAAGGCACTGCCTGCATTGGCTTACCAGATAAATCTCAAATACTTGGACATCTGTGAGGTTGCATATGTAAATATTTTATGTGAAGGAGATGTAGGACAGACAAAGATGAAAGGGGAAACTTAGTGTGCATGGATTGCAATCAGGCATTGACATGAACTGAATCATGGGGCTTGGACTGCAGAGACTCTTCATACCTTTTATGAAAGATATCTCTTACAGTGCATCAGTGATCTCTAAGTTCACTGGTAATGGCTATGGAAGGTGTCCATGCCAATTCTTGACAAAAAAAACCAACCCACTGTTTAAATAGAACATCTACCAGGAAACAAATGTAAAAATAATTATGTTCAACAAACAGTGCACATTAACAGAAAAAATTATTTCATGTAATTCGGATATTTCTAAATTAGAAGTCTTAAGTCTTATGCGTTTGTTACGCGCCGGAATGTGCTCCTACAACTGGTTTTAGTCCACCCTTAACAAATGTGTGTTTGTCCTTTAATTGCTGTTTTCCAAGCCAGGTATTTATACATAGATGACCATCAGAGAAACAACCTTTTTGCTTGCTCAGATCTGTCCCTAGAGAAGGACAGCTTCAGGTCTTAACCTCTTAGCTTTTCTCAGACACAAGGCCATACACAATAATGTGCTGAGCTCTTCAGGTGTAGTATTATCATTATTCATAATACTGTTAATCAGGATATCCAGTTGATTAGTATAGATGCCCAGCTACACTAGACCTTTATTTTTTTTCCCTGTAGTAGATAATTTTTGGAGCACTAACAGCAGGATATTTGTTCATTTGTTATGTATGTACATGTGTGTGCATGTGCATTCTTAAAAGTGTGTCGTAAATGAAAGGGGACCGATTTTAGTGGGCAACTTAATTCACTAAAATGCTAGAGCTTCTAAAACCATCTTTGCTCTCTAGTCATTTTGTCAAAATACTTTTGTACATTAAACCAAATCACATAGTAGATAGTATTTCAGAAAAGGGGTGTGTTCTCTTAGTGCTCATCTTGCTACAAATATGCTTTTATTAGGGTGCTATTATTTTTATGCTTTTATGGCTGGTTTTAGCCAATTAGCAGGTCTGTTTTCTAATGTTATTTATATTCTGTTTATCTAATGTTAATCACGGATTTGACAAACTGGTTTAATGAGTTGTCCTTAAAACTAGCGGTTTTGCCAATTCAGGCATCTCTTTACTTCAGTCTCAAAGTGAACCTTAGTAATTGGCTGAGAATGTCCCAAAGCAGGATTTTGAAAATAAATGTACAGATAAGCATTGACAATATGAATGATATACACAGGAAAACCTCATGTTGTCAGTATTTACTCTTTGCTTTCACAAGTATTCCTTTTTAAGGCAGTCCTTTCTCCCATTTGTAATAATAAATGTGTGATTTCCTCCCCCCCATCC